TCCCCATGCCTCTCACTCTATTGCCTCACTCCTTCTTTCTGATCTACAGCCTCAAAGAAAGAAGGTGAAATGAATTCAAATGGAAAAATAGACTGTGCTCACTATTAAATCGCTCGCCTACCTTTGTCCCTTGCATTGCGCCTGGACGAGACAGATACGAGAAAGGCAGTGTGGCTGTACAAACCGAGGCAATTTAGCTGCCATTGTCGCTTTTTACGTCAACAAACAAAGCTCTTCCTTTGATGTGATAAATGGCCTCAGTGGCAGGATGATAACTACGAGCTCGTAAATGTGTCAAGGATGTTTCAAAGCTCTGAGCATGTTTTACACTGCGGGACATTGTGCGCTGAGGCACATTTCACATCGCAGAACCTTTCATGCTAACCTTAGATGTACTGAGGAGTCTCTATCTGTCTTTCATAAGCTAGCAACACAGAAGCCACGCAGTTTAGTCAAGATGCACCAAATGGGAAGAGAGGAAATCATAACACACAAAAATCAATGAGGGGGAAATGAAACAGCAAAGTGTTCAAATAATGTGAACTGTGTGAAAGGACAGAATATAGAGGGTGTGATGGAATAATCATTGTGAATAAAGCTCTATTTGACAGACTGTCCTCTATCCCAATTCAATGAGCGGTCAGTTTTTATCTCTTCCCTGTACAATAAAGAACTACAGTGATGTGGCTGTAAAGCTGGGACATGGTATACTGCTTGTATACTGTCTACAAGCTGTTACCAAATCACATATTGTTTAATTGCAGCACAACTGAAGATGCTTAATCCATTTAAAGAACCAAAGAAAAATCAGCTTTTAACAGGTACTTTCAATGTTGTGCACATCTTCTAGAGAGATGTATGAGTTTTTGGTGCACTAGGAGTTAAGATATCCTTTTTCAATAGCTCAACACTTTTTAATCAGACATTACAGTATTCATGTCCACAGCTTCAAGCTAATGTTTTGAGGGCATTTGAGCCTTCACCACATTTCCATCCTCCTTCAGCTGCCCTTTGTCACTGCACCTCATCCCTCCGCCTTCTTCAAGGTAGCTCACCCTTGACTTTTGTGCTGAACTTCAAAAGCCAGTGTGCTGATTGGAGGGTTATGGCCGCAGGATGGGGACTATTGAGCTGGAGGGGGGTTTGGGGGGTGTGTGCCTGTGCGGCCCCTGCCTGTGCAGTGACCCACTGCTGGGGCCACAGCCAGCCAGCAGCCCCAGCCATTGGCTCCTTGGAACTAATCCACCCTGCGGAGCCCTGTAAGGCCTCCTTTGTTCCCTCCTGCAGACTAGATCAGGCTGGAGACAGACACTCCAGTCTTGACTGGCTATCAGTTTCAGAGCCTGTGGCGATCCACATCCAGGCACAGGCCCAAGCCTGGCCAAACCACCATCAAATTAAAGGTGGGTGTATAGGGGAGGGGGAGGTGGGTTTGGTTGGGAGGAATGGAGTGAAATTGTGTCACCTAAATTCCGTCACAGTCCGAACATGGTGAAAAGGTGGTCTGATGAGGAAAAGAACAAGCAGGAGGAAAGGAATATTGAGGAAGAGGATTTCAACAGGAGCTCTGCCTCTCGGTGAACAGAGCAGGATCTCAACAAGGCCATTATCTGGCTCCCAATTTGAGCTCTGGCACAGCACTGAAGGGCTGCCTTTGTCTGGGATTAATGCGGAAAGCTCAGGATGCGATGTCAGAGGGAAATAATCAGCATGGGCCCTTCATAACGTTGGCTGCTCATGCTCCTGGCCAGGGCCCCCCGGCTCATTTCTGTGGAGATGAAATCTATGACAAGCCCCTCAGTGAAGCTAAGAGCAGGCAACAGTCCAGTAACACCCACAGGCCTCCAGGCATCCTGTGACCCCCTTAGAAAAGTCACATTCACTTTGCTCTGGAGAAGGGAAAGAGAACGCTGCAGGCGCTTCCAGCCCATGTGAAATGAAGAAATGTGAGGAGGTGAAAACGAAGTGAAAATAAGTTAAGATTCCTCCTCCGCCCCCTCTGCAATCACTCCAGAGGAGGGGCACACTGTGACTTCACTTCATTATGCCCCTCTAATTAAACATGAACAGGACATTAAAAAAGAGACGAGTAAAATAGGGAAAAAAAGACAACTCCAGCATAATGTATATTCATGTTTATGTTGTGTAACTGCATTTGGGAAAGCAGTTTGAGAAAGCAGCTTTTTTTTTTTTTAAAGCAGCAGAAGGTCGCGGGCTAATACCCATCAGGGTAAAACATTCTGAAAGAGGTTGGCACTGCACTCAAGGACCAGAAGTAATGCTTTTATTTTGTTATTTATGCTTTTTTTACCGGGTGCATTACTATGCTCCTCTGCAGCATATTGCTGCTAAGCGAAGGATGTGAAGATGCAACTCGATAAGCAGGTTATTAAAATGACCAATTGACATTCAAAATTCAGACCTATTTTAGATTCATCATATTTACAGATGAATATGTGGAATTTAAATGTTTCCCCTTCTGCCTAGAGGAAAATGGGACTTGGTACAGCAACTGTGCATGACTTCATGTATGACCATATGCTGAAGAAATACGATACTCAAGTCATTGCTTATAGAATCTCAAACAGGAGACAGTTCTTTATAATAACACAGTTCAGCTTAATTAAGAACAGACTAGGCAAGTCACATGGGAGTATGTCACCATGCTCCCTGTAACATACACACATATTTCCTACCATATATGTCACGTTCACCAACTTAAATTGTGCAGAATGGGTTATTAGACAGATTCCTAAACTTGGCTAATGCTTAACAGGTCAAGCATGAGGAGGATGTGTTGTATTAAGAACACAGTGGTTTTCAAAACTAAAGCCATGGGGGAAGCCAGACCAACAAAGAATCATGTCCACAAAACAAACCCACTCCCTGGTGCCTCCAGAAAGGTATTGGCTCATGACTCTAATCGGAGATTTCAGATTTGCTCATCTTCATCCACTTCGTAGATGAATAAACATGAGAACAATGGTTCAGAGGGCTGCACACTGTGTCGCCAACCCACCACTGCACTTTACAGCACCCTCACCAGTTGTGGATACACACAATCCCCTCAATTCTGTGGGAATAAAGATGTCAAACAGGAACCGGATTCTCACTAAATCACGCAGCTCAGGTCCCCGCTATTTTCTTTATTCTTTGGTTATGCTCAAGTCTAATGTTGCTGTGTGGATGATTCAATTACAGTACAGTATATTACGCTTTTCCCCTACTGTATAGTACATTGCTCTTAACCCATGCCTACTGTTCAGCTTCTGAATTTATTGATTTGCCATTTGTCTTGACTTATGGCTTTGTGTTTTTATTGGGTAGTGCATGGCACGGCTAAGTAAATGTTGTTCTCCAATGTGCTTTTAAAATAACTTGAATCCTACTAGAATCCTACTAATCTATTGGCACAATTTACAATTACATGTAAATGGAAAAAATGTAACAACAACAACTGACACAGAATCAGCAAATCAACCAATAACCAATTATTTATCTATTTACTATTGCTATAGCAGAGTACAGAAAAAATGAGAACAAATATTATCACCATTTTTATCCTCTCACATTCTGTTCACCTCATTTAACATTAGAGCATATAATATGTCAAACTGTCAGTGTTTTCTACATGACAGCTGAAGAACCAGACAAAGAGAAAACTGTTAGAGAGGTTGGGGTCATACTCCCCCAGGGAGTTTTATTTTTATTTCCAATCTCCTCTTTTATGTCTTCTTATGAATTCTGACATCTTGACTTCATTTCAAATATATTACATAACTTGAAACAATTAAGCACTTAAATTAAGTGTTCACTTTTAAAATATTAAGTCTGGTTTTTACTGCACTATAAAAACTTTGGTTTACCAAAATAATTTCTGTGTGGATTAAAATTAACATTTGAATATAAGCCTGTTGGTAGAAAGGGGGTACCAAGAGTGGACTCTGATGTGTTATTCTATCAGACAGACAAAATGGGTCAGACGCATACAGAGGCTGTGCCTGTATAGATAATATAAAGTAAACAATTGATTTCTTTTTATAAATCAGCAGTGTTACATTGGTTTGGTTTGGGTGTTAAAAATGGCCACGATGACAAAGCCACTGCTGGCTACACTGAGGCACTAAGCTTGTTTCTGAATTGGGCAAATATGGTGTAACGAGTGCTGTTGAATACTGATATGCACTGCTGTTAGGCAGATAAATAAAACAGGCAGAAGGTAAACAAAATTTCCAAACCAAAAGTATGCTAAATTCTCAGGGAACAGTGGGGAACAACTCAACAAAAAACTGTCTGTATATTGGGCAGCCATTATTTTGCATTATCTCTAACTACAATACCACATCCTACTGTATGATTATTGATTAATTGTCCTAGGAGCAAGGTCGCTCACTGCACTTACTGTACGTTAATAATGTCAGTAAACTTTTGAAAGAGTTGAGTTTGACTACCACACACTTTGACCTATAGACACAAGTACAGTTCAGACAGCATGCTACTCAGATTCAGGAGAATATCATGCATTAAAAAAAAAATGGAATTCACTGCTTTACCTGCAGTTATGGATTATTTCTTACTCACTGTCTTGCAGATACATATTCAGTGACTCATTTTTTGCATTTCTAGCAACCATCCATATTTGAACTTACCACAGTCGGGGATGACAGGACTATGAAAATTACCACTGGAAGCTGTCTACACAAAAAAGTACAGTATTCTTTGTAAAAAGCCCGGTAGGTAGGTTGTCATTATGTTTATTGTTATAGTATCATCAGTAGGCTGGTTAGCGATCATCACCTCCTCCTCATCACAAATGCACTGAATCTGAACTCTGCTCAGCTATGTATCAGGAAAGGTAGAATAATTTAATTTAATTTAATTTAGAATAAATTCCCTGTACAGTATACAGTGTAACTGAAATAAATAAAAAGTTCCCACTGACCACTGTCAGGAAGACAAAGAAAACTATAATATAGCCATTCAGTGAGTCTAGTTCTTACCTCTGTCCCCGATGGTGTGGTCCCTGGTGAATCCACTTTACGTTTTTTGCGGGGTCCAATAGCGGCTAATGCTGTAAGGTTGGCATCTCGCTGCCTCATCTGGGCCAGTTCCTGTTGTTGCATCTGTAGAAGACAATACCAAGATTAGATGTGGTAAAGCATTGCTGTAGTATGTTAGTACGCCATGTGCGAGGTACCAGTGGCAACAACAGTAATTGGCTGTTGTTTAATGGCTCAAAAATGGCCACACAAGTGACCCCAGAATTTGAACTTCAGATTTTAGGAGCATTTGCAACCAAACTGTCACAAATTAGAGCGGGGCACTGGTGAGACTGGGTGAGCAATGAGAGAAGAGTAGGATCAAACATAAAAAATAAAATAAAGGGATATAAAGGACAAAGATATCCCTCTTCCTCCTCTGTCCATCCATGTATTGTATAAGCTCTCCTGAGCTGAACAAAATGGAAGCCTGTTGTCAGCCATTAACAGAGCCACTGTCAAAGATCGAGTGTGTGTGCGTAGTCACATGGTCCCATTGTGATTTTTGCAGTTTGTGATGTATAAGGGGGAGGTTGTGGGGAGGCACTGCCCAAGGTAATGTCATGTCTAGCCGCAGGGCTGAGGGAGAACCCAGCGTTGCTGGGAGCTGCCATTTCTATTGGGTGGATGTGTGAGGGCCTGGGGCCATGGCACAGAGGGTGTCAGCACTCCCTCCAACATGCAAACACAGTACGCACACACAAACACACACACACACACGTGCCTATCAATCTTGGCCACAGCACAGGGAATGCCTACCCACCAGCTTGCCTGCGTGCCTGCCCGCTGGGGGAGAGAGGCCTGGGTTGAAGCGAACAGGGACAATCAATGTGCGCTTTCATGTCTTTCATGTTCTTTTATGTTATCTCTCAGCATGTGTTAGCTGGGCGCTGGTGTTTGTGTGAGGCATGTATGTTGTCTGATCAGGGGAAAATTTCATGTTACTTTCAGATGGCGCTCTGTAAAAGGTTGCTTTGGTGTATAAAGTCTGATCTAAAATGTGCATGCAGTTGCCTCTGATTTTTTCCTAAAACCCCGATGGCAAAGCATGCCCTTTAGGGTGTTGCCACTTCACATTTAGCACGGCGGAACTGTTGAAAGATTCAAACACGCTGACAACACAAAGTAGGGGAAATAATAGCAGCAGTACCAACCAGCTGAATATCTCAAGCACATTTATTTGTCCATTTTTTAAAATGAATAGTGGTGAAAATTAATATAATGTAGTAATACAAATATACAAATTATTATCAATGGTATTGACAAGTGATGTAGTGATTCCAGGCATGGAGTTGGCTCTTAATACTATGCAAACAGAGACAGAGGGTATAGTGGAGTCAGAAACTGGGGATCGTGGCTGGATGAGGCAAACCGTCTCGAGATGATTATTGCCCTTGTCCACATGGCAAATGTAGCATTAATGTTTATCAATGCTAACCTTATTAGGCTTTGCCACAAACAACACACAAATCTCTCCAGGCCTGACCTTAAAGAATCCCGCTGCAAAGTGAGCTGGGTGAGAGCAATAGAGCAGAAGAGAGGGAGAGAGATTGAGAGAGAGAGGTCCGCTATCTCACTGATGGCACCAGGATGCCGGCATCTCCGCCTGGCAGTTGGCACCAGGCATGGGCTCCCAGCGCCCACAGCAACTGCCTGCATTTTCAGATTTATGACTGTATGATAAATGAAGACTTCATTTTACCATCTGCAACCCTCCAGTCTGCGTTTCCCGTCAATAAAGAGCCCGCCATGACACAGGGAGACTGATTTCTGATTTCAATCTGGTGCCACTATGCCGAGCCTACCTTCCTTTAATGACTGCAAACTGATACAAGCCAGAGTTGGGCCAGGATTTGATAGATTTGTTTTAGTCCAAGGATTCGACTGCCATCTAATTCAAACATACATATATATAAAGTATGTTAATCTAAAACACACACAGGTGTACAACACATTATATCAAGTAGTAGCAGTAGCTATACAGTAATGTGGATATGGAAGAATGTTGCCTTCAGAACATAAACTGTCCTGAACTGTACAGGGTTTTGAGGTGTTGGTACCATTCTCTGATCACTATTAACTCTGTATATTATGTTTTGGTGTTAAGCAGTTATCCTGTTAAGAATGCCATCAATCTCTTTTAGTGAGTTTCTACAAGCTGTTTCTCTGTTATGGAACCCATCATGATTTTACAGTTTGGTACTGTTGTTATATTAAATTATTTTGCAGTGTCAGCAAAGGAAATCCAAACTGTGACCTACAAGTACAAGAATCTCTCTCTCCCTACGCTGTCACAAATGTTAAGCCATAGGTACAATCACCACCCAAAACTGCAAAGGTCACTACAGAGATTCATCCCAGACTGGAAGAACAACCAGCTGGCACGATGCATACATTTGCCAGGTCCGATCAATGGTACCGCATAAATATCTGCTGTTCCAAAGTCACGTAAATACCAGTGCTTCCAGTCTGCCTGTATGCCCTTTTAAAGCAGGGAACTGGAACTTGTAAAGTCAAATTATTAGCAAAGGTCAGGAGATGTAGAACATTTTCAAGATACCCAAAAGAATCAATCTTACAGGTTTGTTAGAAAAAGGTTTTGATGCAAAAAGCACAATGTCAGATGATGATGTTATGTTCAGTGTAGGGAAATGGGAAGTGTACACCAACACAAAAATGTACATTTCCGCAGAAACACTTGTGGCAGTTGCACACAGCTCTCTTACAGATGTTGAGTGCCCTGCTAAAAGCGCATCAGTTAACACTCTGATGGAGCAATATGCAAGTACAAACACTGAAGTTCTGAATCGAATATCAATCAGGTCAGGGCCTGTATTCATCAAGGCTCTCAGGATTACCCATAAACTGTGCTGAAAGTTTGATTACAGCTAAAAATACACTCTCTAATAAGTAAAAGCTCTCCTATGAGAATAAATAACATCTCCAAATTTGTTATGACGATTAAAATATATAACATGAAATAACCCACAATCTCTTTTCCTGCAATGACTCTGAATTAAATATTCTTGATATGCTTGAAAAATCCAGGCCCTGGATATCGAATTACATATATTCATCAGATTATTCGTGTCATGGGGTTGTGTCCTGGGAGATTCTTCCAAAATCATATTTAAATAAGAGTAAGACCTCTAGTTTGAGGGCAGTGGAAGTTAATATTTATCAGCAGTGTAGACGGCGGGTTCATGGGTTTAACACACAGCAGTTGAGTCAGTAGAGCTGGAGTTAACAAACTAAAAGGGTAAAATGAAAGCTAAATACTGTTATACAACATTAGTAATGTTTTTATTACTAATGTTTGTCTTTGCCTTGTTCACTGAATTGATTCTGACCCTTTCGCAAAAGCAAATTATGTTCCCTGCATTCAAATAAAGTATTTCAAAATACATCCATCTCTTTTTTTGTGGATTTAGGTAGTCTGGATATAATCTGACACTTCACACTCTATTACCTGTTTTAGTTTTATAGTTATTTACATTTTTACAAATACATTTAATGTAGAAAGTGTGCAACAAAAAAATAATCACATCCATTTATCGCTTATTGCTTTGTTAGTTAACTGTTTCCCATATCTTGTCCAACTTCAAGCTAGCAAGAAGAATGAGCAGTATGTTTCCTTATGACGCAAAAATGTCCAAAATACTGCAAAAACCTTCAAGCGTTCTGATACACTCGGAGTGAAGAGGGTAGGGGGATGAGCTGCAGGAGCCATGATGGCCGACCTGCTTTTCTCCTTTTCTGCTGTTTTTAACAAAGACTTTTCTCTCCATCCTCCTGCCCTCCCTTCCTCCCTCCTCCTGGCCTAAGGGGCCGCTTGCGGCCCCCCAGACGCTTACAGACAGATGTCCTTGGTAGAGCAGAACACGCTCTGCTTGACGTCACAAGCAGCTACGGGGCTGTGAAGGAAGCTAAAGGGCTGTCTGCCCTGCAAAGAGCACAGTATAAAAGCCAGACCATGGGTCCAACAGAACACAGCAGAGAGCTTCTCAGTATATAGACATAACATATGCCACTTTTGGGGAATACTTCTTTTTCCCAAAGAGCCTTGGTAGAGGGCATACATTTTAAACAAGGGTAGGTGGCTCCAGCCAGAATCATATCTCTTATGATGGCTCTAACCTTTGTACTGCTGCCTATAGCCTGAGCTATATTGAAGGTTATAATGGTAAGCATCTAAATTAACTAAAAACTTTCAAAATGAAAGTCTGGGTATGGTCAATGCTACAGGGAGGCTACTCAGGAGACATAAGCCGTATTTCCACCCAAACTACCCGCAACTTTTAGTCCCAGGAACTACTTTTCAAGGAACTAAAAGGTTCCTTCAGCACATTCCTTCTGTAAGAAAAAGTGACTGCTTTTTTAATACGTACTAAACATTGTCATCGTTCCATCGGTTGAATGCTTTCTTTTGTAACTCCATGTCGATGTGTCAAGGCACAATGGACATAAAACAAACTAGTCTGGGGCTGCAGATTTAAAAAAAATCCTGTACTTTTGTAAAGTAGTACCCCCAAGCAGGGACTTTTAGGAAGGTAAAATAATGTCCCTGGAACTTAATTTAGACCTTGGTCCCTGCGGTGGAAATGCAGAGTTCCTCCAAAGGTTCCTAATCCCTGGGGAAAGTTCCTGCACTGGAAACATGGCTATACTGTATACATAGCACTAGAAAGTGCGGTCAATGCACTGTAGACGGTCACCTGACTGCTGAGTATCTGCTGCACTGAACTTTGTCCTTTCTGCTGCTGTGTAATGGCGTATAGGTAGATAAAAATGTATTCAAACACAGTACTGCAATGTAAATGTATCACAAGTATCACAACATCTCTTTAATACACAGGTAAATATTCAGCATCAAACTAACTTTACTGGTATTCTCTGTGGAGCACAGTGTTAAATTAACACCAATAATAATGATATTCAGTGTCAAAAGTGTAAGAGAAAGGCTTGGAGGATGTGACTGGCACTCATTCAACTAAAAACTTCACATGTGAAAGATAAAAATCAGTAGCCTGATTTACGACCAGAACACCCATCAATGTCAGGTGGCTGTCAAACTTCTTTCTATT